GTTCTACTCAGAAACCCATGCCTCATTCTGACTCTGACTAGCTTTTTGTCTTAACACCTTCATCTAGGCCAACATGTAACTTCACTTTTCAAACCTAACCCTGGTTCCATTTTGTGTAATGAGATTTTCTTGCTGTCACTGAAGGCCGGAGATTGTGGATTGTCATTTTCATTGATCGTTTTAATTTATTGTTTCATAATGCGGGCACAGTGAAGCCTTTTGAGACTCTAACTGCATTCAAGGGCTGCACACATGAACTTGACTTATTTCTTAATAACAACCGCTGAAGTGAATGAAAACAAAAGTGCAAAGACACCCACACACATATATTTATAAAATCAATGTTGGTGTAATGTGCGCTTCAGTTTACACCAGTCTGGGCATTTTGAAAAATACAACTATTCATGGAGAATTACTGAGGGCATCTGATAAACGAGCAAAAATATAAGCTTGTGGATATTACTGTTGCAGGTCAAAGGCTCCAGTCCCATCGCCTGAGACATGAACAACTTATTCTCACATTACAGAAGAAAACCAACTGTGATGTGACACGTCGAGCCTCCTCATATCATCCCTTATTGGCCCTGTAATATTTTTATTAAGTGTAATGTTTTCACATCTATACGTGCCACTGGGTCTTGGTTAAAGGTGCAATATACAGGATTAAGAGCATTCAAATAGCAGCAAACAACTCTTATGTATAGATGTTGTGGAGTAATGTCTACCTGAGCAGAGAATGAAGTCTCTCGTCCTCTGTGTGTTGTTACCAGAGCTTCTCCGTACTTGCATCGCCAGGCTGCCCGTGCATGCTTTTAGTGCGTGTTACTGCATGTGGGTAGCTGCCGGCCGCTGCTATGCACTGCTCTCATACAGCGGTTACAACTGGTAACCCCGTCCTGTTTGACAGCGTCGATGCTGAAGCGTATCAACCACCCTCAGGTTCCCTCTCGGGGTAAACACTGTCAGCGCTTTTGTTAGAGTTGAGCTGTTGAGAGGCAAATGAAATGCTGGCTGGACCTCTTACATCCCCTGCTTCACTTAAATATACACGTGACACTTTTATAACAGACTTGTTGTAACGTACTCTTAATTTGTTTGTTAATCATCTAGTGTACTTTTTATATTTAAATTATGTCTTTTTCTATTGTTTATTGTTATCACTACACCAAATTGCATGTGCAAACGTACTTGGCAATAAGCTGATTCTGATTCCCAATCCTGCGTATTGCCCCTTTTTTAAGTTGAACGTGCTCTAGAAAATGTAGGCAGTTGTTGAAAGATGGCTCGGTAAAAACATTTTTCGAGAATGACTTGGAGCGCGTGGTCGACCAATTGGATGATCTGGGGTTCGATCTCCAGCTCCTCCAGTTCCTGTTGATGTGTCTTTGTGCCAGACGCTTAATTATTCACGGAAGGCTGTGCCATCGGTGTGTGAATGCACATTAGTTTAGTCCCGATGAGCAGATGGCACCTTGCATGGATTGAATGTGTGGAAATGGCTGAATGATTTAGTGCAGTGAAACAAGCTTTGAGTGGTCGGAAGACGAGAAAGGCGCTCCAGTTACCATTCCCCATTCCTTACCCAGCGCATGCTCTAAACTATGTGCAGTAGTTCAGTAATTGTTTTCAGCGCTCCTCCTCTCTTTATTTCAGTCAGTTTGCACATTAGTCCCAGTTTGTGCCTCTCATGTATTCCTGTCGCATTCAAATCTCATTTTACATAAGATACCCAAAAACACAACAACCCAGATGTGGTTAAACAGCTGTCCACTGCTAAACCCACTGTCCTCAAGATATTTCCAGAAGACTTCAAGACTTCATCTGTTGCATTGTAAAAAAAACATTTGTTCTCAAATTCAAACTTCTTGTCCACGTAGCCAGAAATAACGTTTTCCCTTTTTTTGTACAACTCAAGCAACGATATTGAGTACAGAGATGTGTCATTTCCGCCTGTCTGGCTTTCGCCGTCTTTCCCCAAACTTAGCTGACAACGCTGCTGTCAGTCTCTCTGTCTGAGTCGGTCATTTACTCTGATGAGTCGGGGCTGTCAGCTCAGTTTGAAGACTCTGAAGCTTTGTTTGTACAAGTTGCAAAGTGTGTGTTGACTTCTGTACGCTTCACTTCCAGTTTTTACACAACTGTGTGGGTTACATTTTTACCAACCAATCACTAGAGACCATCATTTCCGCCTGAATCCAACATAAATTTGATGTGTTGCCATGACCACATACTTTGTGCCAGTGTTTTAAAAGTGGAGCGAGTTAGAAGAGGAAACAAACGGAACAGAACAAGCCTACGATGTGGGCAATGTTGAGAAGACATGTCGCATATGTAATATTATTTTGTTCATAAAGACAGTCGTTTCATATTATTCAAAAGCCCAAATGCAAAAGAGCTGCCATTGAGGGAACGACTCAGAGATGTCGGGGTAATTCTCACATACAGACATCAATGAGGATTTAAGCAGGGAGTGAAATACATGATTACCCTGAACAGCCTCAACAGGGGGTCTCTACAATAAGTTGTCACTTAAATGTCTTTCTAAAGCTGAGTCAATGTCCAGCAGTATTCATTACTAAAATAATTTCTGCAGTAAATGACGCGACGAAGCGAGTTTGTTTGTGTGTTTTACTGTTTACCTAACCGGACCCCATTTGGACACATTTGATCCATTGTCGTTCGTGAGAACCTGGATTAAAGCAGGACATCGTCTCTCCTCTTTCTGCATACCATGACGGAAACGAGAAGAGGCAGAGCCGAGGTCTGTGTGTCGGGTTAGAGTCTGAGCGCGTGCACGTCGGGTTAGAGCGCGTGCACGTCGGGTTAACGGTTCCTATGAAATCTTGCAAAAAGTTACTCCTCATTTTTCCTGCGTTTTCCAACAAAAGTCCAGCAACACGTGTCAGTTTCCGCTCGTTGAATGCAGACAGTCTTTTGAAAAATAGACTTCCGTCTTCACGGGAAACTCAGTTAGGTTCAGGCAGCAAAACTAATTGGTTAGGTTTAGGAAAAGGTCGTTGTTTGGGTTAAAATAACAAGTTACGCGACAAATGAATCAACGTTTCACACGCGGAAGTAACGGCGGTCTCCTGGGTGAAAGATCTCCGTTTGATGGACCCGCCCACCTCCCTTCCTCGTTCATGATTACGTGAAAAACATACAAAATAATTTTGTGGGATATCTACGAATTAGGGAATTAAGGTTAAAGATGCACAATGTCTTGTAAAGAGACACAAATGAGGAAGGCTGGCGAGAAGTAGAGAAGAAGGACCGTGTTACGCCAACAAAGACACCACGGGAAAAAATGCTGAGTCTCAACCCGGCATCTCGTAGCAGTACGACAGAAGTAGATAATAAATGTTTCCAGACATCAAAGCAGAGCGATATATGACCTTTCAATAGATTTAGAACAGCTTCAGCGTCTGCAGGGGTCTCCATTGTTGTTCTTGATACTCCTTGGTTCCAGCACTGAGCAGTTAATCGTTAGTCCACCCGATTTCTTTTTTAATTCGAGAAACTGCTGTTTCATGTCATAATGCCAGACGTAGCCGTTGACTTGAACTCGGTGGTGTGGTGCGGATTCTGAGGTCTGGACCCAGCCAACTGCAGCGACCCATCCCCGCGCCATTTCCATCGCCTGACCTTTTCCCGCCCTTCTGCTTCCCATTTCCCTAATCGGCACAGCAGTGTTTACAGCGGCCCGTCTCCACTCACGCCCTGACAGATTGTCTAGTTTGCATCCACCCCATCGCTCCAGCCTTCATTTCTGAGATGGATTGATTGATGGTCCGTCTGGTTACGTTTGTCTGTTTCGACCGATTACTTGGTTTTGACCCTTGCCTGTTTTTGGACTTCAGTAAATGAGAACTTTCACATTCCTCTGCCTGTTTCTGTGTCGTGCTTTTGGGTTCAAGCATGTTGTTTCTGAGCCATTACACTGTGTTCTGTGTTTCTTTTGGAACAACACACAGTATGTTAAACACAGCACATGAGGGGAACTATGAGGAAAAGATACTTTTATTTTAAATAGCAGAAAAAAAAAATGCTTTATGTCCTGACACGGCTCCACCTACTGGCTGATGTGTGCAATTCATTTGGCTGACTTCAGGGGGACATTTGAAGCATTTCCACATATGTAGTTGCTCTGGGACGTTTGGTCTCTCAGGTCCAGATGGTTTGAAGGCAGAAAAAAAGAAGCAAAGGGAGGAAAAAGTGCAAAAATAGTTCCAGCACCTGCAGACCAGTGTTTGACACCTGATATTGATGTTTCCCCAAAACCTAACTAAGTTATGTTGCCTGAACCTAACTAACGTTTTTGACGTAATGTCGTCCCGAAAATTTGGTGACTATTTCGAAAGTGGCGTAAGACTGTGTTTGGTTCACAGAATACTCTTTGGAGCTACTTTATTTCAAATGAAGCTGTTGTGAACCATCAATTGGAGAGTTAGACCATCATTCAGTCGGTGATGCTACAGGGCTGAATTACATTTAACAGCTCAAGGTAGGAAAAAGAGAAAAGAGGGAACTCGAATCACAAAAGAGCCCGAGGGGGCTTCACAGCCTGCAGATGAATCTTCGTCATTGGAGCTCTGATTGGTGCTCAGAGGGAAGTCACCACAGGCCAGTCTGGAGGATCCTGCTACTTGTTCATTTTAAATTCCTCTGACAGACTCTCTTTTTTTTTTTTATTATTGAAGATCGTGTAATTATCATGTTCCATATAAATCCACCCAGTAAAAAAAAAAACACATGTTCCACAGTGCATGAAGTCCCAAAGCGGTGCATTTCATTCTATATATTTAATTAGTGCCTCGATCACTTAGGTGCTACAAAATATTTGAATGACTCCAGCGTGTCTCGGGAATGCATAAACAATTTAACATGCCGGTTCCTGGCGAATTCCCTCCTGTTTGTCATCAAGTGTTTTTAGGATGAATACAGCAGGATCACACATGAAAACCCGTCAGCGCTTCCTGTTGAGGAATGACAAGATGACGACGTTTATTCGCGCCACAACATTTAATACACACCATCGCAGGAGACATGCAGCACTTCACATGGTCCCCAACTGTAGCTCTCATTTTGACAACACACACAAACCATAAAATAATTTAGAACAAAACACATATTAAAAAAAGGTGTTACATTTCTTTTTTTTTTCTTATACATGTTCATAATACTGCTTCATAAAATGTATCACAGAAATTAGCTTTTTTTTTGACACAGCAAAACCATAAGGAACCAACTCAGGTATTACACTGACACTGTGCTTGTTGATAGTTAGCAGAAAAAATGTGAAGTGGCGACAACCGAGAGGGAATGTCACAGAGAGGACAAGGAAAGAAGAGTCTGTCGGGGGAAGAGGAGGAGGAGGAGGAGGAGGAGGTGGCGGGTCTATATCCGTCCCTCTCTGATGAGAAACAATCCAAGTGCGCTGAAGGCCAGAGAGGTCGATCGCTAGGCGTAGAAAGTCTCTACTTTCACTGCCTGACAGAACATCGTCATGGAGAAGACCAGGCCCAGGATCTGCACCAACGCAAGAAACAAAACCAGCCATTAGAATCCAACATGAACGGGCTCAGATGTGCAGAGTCACAGCGAAATAGAGAGGAACGCTTCCGTCTGTTTGGCTCATTCTCTGTATCATGATGTAAATACGAGCCAAGTCCAAATCTCATGAAGTTTGTTTCTTGGGTAATAAATCCACAGCATAGACTGTATATAAGAAGTGGACGTAGTCGTAGTGAGGCCAGTTAGATATGAGTGTGCAAGGTTATCTATACACTATTCAGAGCATTAATATAGCAGCAAACGACTATGCTGTGTGAAGATAGTGAGTGTGTGTTGTAATCTGAGTTTCTCTTTGCTTTGTTCACACAGTCGGGCCGGCCGCACTCTGCACTGCTCTCATACACGGCGGTTCCAGCTGATGGCGCCGGTGACCCCTCAGGTAAACACTGTTAACTGTGTCAGCGCTGTTGTCGTTTGCACTGTTAGCGCTGTTAGCACCGTTAGCTGCAAGCCGCCGGCTCATGTTGAGTTAAGAAGAGGCAACTGTACAGAAAACAGGGTCCACTGTGGCCACACGCCATAATTACAAAATAATGATTACTGCTGAAGTGAAGTGTAGCAGAGAAGTCAAAACAGACTTGTTAAGTTTGCTAACATTAGCCATCGTAATAGGCTCCGGTCATACCAGGCCAAGTAATGCTGCAGCAGCTAAACCCTTAATGTATTGAACTAAATAATCATTCAACTTTTCATTTGTAAAAGGAAGAATGTGCCATTTCTTCTTTCTAAAGATACACGAACACGCTTTCATTTGTGTCCCTCAGCTGAGCATTGACTCATATATGAATTGTATAATTCTCAGTCAGCTGGCAGACATCATCGGAGATCAATCTGGCAGTGATTCCATCTTCTTTCTGGTTCTCATTTTACTGCATGTACAGTCGCATTTTGTAAAAAAGCGGGCCCCGACTAAAACGAGCCTGCAGCATCACAGAAGCCTCGCGTGATTGATGTTTTCAAGAGCAGCGTATTTCCCCTTCACCACTTGTGTAAGCGTATCACGTACCCACTTGCCTGGAACGGAGATAAAATACTTTCTACGGAGAACCCTCCTATGTGGTTGTACAGTGACAACACAAGAGGCTTATACGGGCTCCTGCTGTCCGTCTTAATGGAAAGGACGCTGGAAGTATTAGGTTTATTTATCACAAAGTCAGAGCCTCCGTCTGAGGCTGCAGATATCAAATACTGGGAGTTAATGACTGCTGGAGAAAAGGAAAAAGAAGAAGTCACACAACTTAAAAGCTGTAATTACCTGAGTAAGTGCTGTGCATAGAGCAAAGATCCAAAGTGCCACCAGGTTCTCATTAAGCCAGTCCTTGACTCGCTCGTAGCACGGCTGTGGAGACACAGACAGAATGAGCAAACATTAGCCCACAAATGTAAACTCACCATTTAGATGTCGAGTAATATTTGCAGGATTTACAGCAACTTCTCCTCCTGTTACTGTGAAGGGAAAACGCTCTTCGGCTAAAAGGTCCTCCTGTGACAACATCCTCATCTCCTCTCTCCTTCTTTGACCTATTATTATTCTTTGGGAAAACTTTCCAAAACGTAAGCCGGTTCCCCGCTGTACTTTTCTCCCCGCAGCTGTACAAACAGGAGTAATGTGAATGCAGGAGCGGCACGTACCCCGCAGGTATCATGTAGACAAGAGAACGGGCTGAATCTTTCATGTCTGGCATTGCTTGAATGCATTTTGAAGGCGACATGACGAAAACCCCTCCAACTGCGTCCCACAAATGTTTTTTTTGTTATTTTCAGCACCGAGAGCACATTTTAAAATCTCTTCTCAAAAAATGTCCCCGAGCCATAAAGGGCCCACCGAAAAGGCAGAAAGAAAAGAAAAAGGGTAATAATTATTGATAGAGGAAACAGAGCGATGCCCTTCTGGGTCAGCGATGTGCCCGAGTAATGAAAAGGAGATGAATCCTCTCGGCAAAGAAAGCGGCTTTCTAAGAACAGTTGACAGGTGACATTACAAATGATGGGAGTGGCATTTGCCAGGTGGCACGTGGTTCTTCCACCTCCTATTCTTTATATATGTGTGTGCCAAACTGTGTGTTTGATTATGTCACATTGAAGAAGAAGACATACTGTAGTAAAGGGAAAAGCTAACAGTCTCCACCGCTGCTCTAATTTAATTAGTAATGTCTGCAGACGTGCCTTCCTGATTGTGCTATTTTCTTTCTTCATCTCCTTACATCAAGAAGTTGAGCCAGGGGAGCCAAACACAATCTACATTTCACCGCTGCTCAACACGTCGAGGGAAGCAAAGGAAATATGTCTTCCTTTAGCATGAGGTGAAGTAATTCTGTGGATCGATATGGAAAGCTATGCAGTCGGCCAACATTTTTGGTTCGGCTTCAGTGTTATTTATGAAACCCCTGCTGTCCAACTGCAACCCTCCTGGGCCAAAGAGCCTGCACCTGAAAATACATAAATTCATATTTTTTATTGTTGGACGTCCACTGCGGGTGGAAAATAAATCCGATAAGTGAACCTGAACCTGCTATGCCAGTCCCAGCACTGCGACTCAAGGTGTTGAAATGGACTCCTCGTGGGATGTCCTCCTTGGCCTGCACTGGAACACCTGGACCAGAGATGTCTGTATCTTCCTCCTCCTCCTCCTCACTGATGACATGTTCTGCTCTGTGTAGGAGGCTCGGCTCAGAAAACCTCAGCAGGTGTTTTAATTGGGCTTAAATCATTTTGTGACACTGGCTGTTACAAAAGGTCAAGAATGAGCTTCCATGCTGAAAAACAAGGTTGTGCGTCATTGCCTTTCACAACATCCCTAATGGGTGTTTTATAATGATGAGGTTCAGACACCTACTTGGTAAGAGTTAGAGAGAGATCAAGGTTGTGGTTAAAGGGTAACCTAAAGGAAAGGTTCACATGTGGCTATCTTTTAAAGGTTCAACCCTGTTGGTTCAGAATCCCGTCTTTATGTTTACCTGGATCCTGTTTCTGTGTTGAGCTGCATTGGAGCTGCTGAACCACGAGAAAGGAATTTCGTACAACAAACATTAAGTCTGCAGCACTGTCTCTTTAAAATTAGGTGAGTGAGTGAGTGTTCACCGTTTGTCCGTCCACGGCTAATCTCTCATTCTGCTGCAGCAAACTTCACAATATTTTGGTGGACAATTATGGCTGCATGCTTAAGGACGTCCTGTGATTGTGGTGACTCACATTTTCTCAAAAACACCTTTTATTACCTGTTTATAATACTGCCATTGACTGCCAGCTGGCTCCTCGCTCACTACTTTCAACTGGCCAGCAGCTGGTTTGAGATCGCTACTAATAACACAGCTGAGTGCATAGCCGACGCACAGCCACTACTCTGCGGCCAAAGAAACAGTTTGCACATTCATTGTTTTGGATGGTGTGTTTGGCTACCAGCCAACAGAACTACCAGTTCACACACTGCCGAGTACATCGCTGCTGCACGAGGGCAGACAGCTTGGTGAGCTGAATTTTGTTTTTGGCCAGATTGCATGAAAAGACTTTTAAGACGACTTTGAGTGTCTGCACATATCACTGCTTGAGTGGGTTTTTCTACGACACCTTACAGCCAATTGGTGTCTTGCCGGTGGCGTTGGCAAAATGTGGGTCGTATTCATTCACACGATTCAGCGGTGGTCGTTGCAGACACACCTGGTAGAGATCTGCACTCTACTGAGTGCACCTGTCTAGTTGAGGATGCAGTTTAGTTGTATGGGAATGTAAGTTTGTAGGAGACATGGTTCTAGTCTGCTGAAGCACCACATTATCTTCAGTCAAAGTGTAGAATGTATTTTTACACAGAATGAGGAATGGATGTTGTCCATCTTGACTTACATTAGAAGTGCATTAGGAATGTCTCAATGTCTGCCTCAGCTGTTTTCATTTTACATGTTTCCAGCCGCTTCTCATTTCCTCCAGGCCCGTGCATTTCTTTCCCAACATTATTCATCCGTTCAGCATGCAGCCTCAGACTATTCACCTGTTCCAATCACTTGCCTCTCTCATCCACCTCCTCACCTGTTCCTCATTCCACAATTAGTCCCCACACAGTATTTATACCGGCCGATGCCCACCTGCTCTTTGCCAGTTTGGTAATGTTGCTTCGTGCCGGGCTGGCATGCACCTGAACCGTTAACCTGTCAATCTGGAACATGCACCTGCACCTTCATTAAGATGCTCTTTGAACGGATCCAAATTTGACTTTTGGTTGGAAACAAAGAGCAGTTGTCAATAAATGTTTTAGGCATCAATGGAGTCATTTTTCATTTAATTACTTTCTCAATGTTTCCACAACCCTACGTACGGAGGAAACCTTGAAACATTTGCATGCTTTCAAACGGAGTGTGTGCTCGTGGTTTGTTGTGAGTGTGTCCTTGTGTGTCGGCATGTGTTTGCTATCAATGAGAGCGTGACATCTTTTACACAGTTCTTGAGTTCACGATCACTCGGCTGCCGATGACGAGAACTTCAAGCAATCTAAAGCCGACGCCAAGGATCAGCCTTTATTCAAACTCTCTGAACAAGTTGTATAAGGTCTTCATGAGATTTCTATCAGTCAAAAGAAGCACTCTTATATTTGCCTTGGGACAGTTCAACAACACAGAAATGTGCATATCCTTGAATGGCCTCACTGACTTCTTTTGGAGCTAAAGAAAATCTCTGGAGTACGATTTGATTTCAAACAGAGAAGAAAGGTTTGAAACTTCTGTCACTAAGATACTATATGCACCACAGAAATATGAAAAGAGGTCTGCAGGTATTATTGACAGTGAACTGTTGTGGTTCAGTGTGAACTACACGAATTGATTTCTTCTGCAGGGCGAGCAATCAAAACACAAAACTACGTGGATCAGTTGGGCTTTCACACTTGAAGGGGAGACTTACCTGAAGGCCAACAACCTGTTGCCTGAAGGATGTAAATATGTATAAGCGTTTTGAAAAATCTTTAAATGGTTTATGCGAACCTGGTTTAAGGACAAGTAATGGAAAAATATTTTAAAAGGTTACACCGTTCATTTCTAAAAATTGAAAACGGCCGCAGCTTGGCCTTTCCACTGCTGAATTGAATCGAGCTGCAAACAATTGGGGTTTTCATTCGGAGATGAAGGTCTGCTCCCAAGTCCACACCTGTGAACATAATGTTTAAAATCTGCCCTTTGCAAGTAGAAACTGAGGTTAACTTAAGATTTACTTAATTTACTAAACTGAAGAATGAGTTTTAGTTTGAAACAGGGTCTCAGATTGACAATGTTTAATCATAAGAATGCAATAAATATGCAAAGCTGTCCTCCTTAGTTTTGTAACCATTAAGTTCAACTATATGATGAAAGGAATCTCACCACAAGGTTCATTTAGTAGCTGTTGTGGAGCTTCAATCAGCAGGATTTTGCGACTCCTCTGGTTGTATAGAAGTCTATGAGAAAATGACTCTTCTTCTCTCTTGATTTATGACCTCAGTAAACATTGTAAACATGAGTTTATGGTCTCAATCCCTAGTTTCAAGTCTTCTTCAATACAGCATGATGTTCATTTATGCTCACAGGTGTAGACTTGGGAGCAGACAGACCTTCATCTCCCAATAAAAAACATTTTTGCTCGCCTAAAAATGTTGGATTCATCTTTCAATTGTACTTAGCTCAAACCTCTCGTGTCACTTTTGGTTGCAAAAAAAACAAGATGGCGACGGCCAAAATGCCAAACTCGAGGCTTCAAGTATCAGTCCAGAAACCAATACGTGACTTCACGGTCAATACGTCCACTCCTTTTATACGTTTGGTTTAAATGAGTTATTTCATGCTAATGAAAGAGGGCGTGATGTCACAATTCATGGCTGTGATTCTCTTTCACAAACGAGCTGTGGCCGTGCTCTGCTCGCGATCATACGGATGTTTGGGTGGGACCTCGATACCGCGGCTCCACCCCGTGATCACTAGCTACTCTGCAGACTCTGGCTCCAAATAACGTCAACAGCAGCTCCCGCATTTGGGATATTTTCACTTCACTTCTCTACAGTGGGAGGAAGTGGAGACGACTTGTCCATTTATATATGAAGTCTAAGTGTCGTACCGCTTTAAGTACTTTGTGGACATCTCAAACAAATGTTGTTAAAGTGTTCAGAAAACAATTGAAATGAGAACATTTTCAGTTCCATGACAAGTGGACACTTCTGTCTGCTGATGAAGATCATGTTTCATTGCCTTGTCAAGTCTTACTGTGACTTTCTTTTTTTATCTCTCATGCTGATCCTCTAAATAATAGCGAATTAATCAGCTTTTGCAGTTGGCAGAGCTGGAAAACAGGTGTTTTGCAGGCCTGCTGTTTTTGCATTTTATTTTTAGTGGACTGAATAAGTCACATGAGAATTTAGATTCAAACAAGAAAGTTTCTTGCTGAGGATTTCCAATTAGTGTCGATGGCAAATGTAGTCCGTTGAACTGATAAATTCCTCAGTGTGAGCTATGTTGACTGAGACAGATGAGTTCTCCTGCTCGCGGAGCCGTACAGTGCCTACATGTACCAGCATGCATTGTGCGTGAGCTTTTGTCGCCCCAAGGATCGCGGCCAAGCCCCCAGGAAGAGCGCCCGTCTCTGAAGAAAATATTACGTAGTCGCCAATTGGTGGGATTGAAATTTCCGACGTCCATCACGTGATGGCGTGGGGCCCAAAAAGACAGACTTTTCTCAAAGACATCCATTGGGAAAGAGATGTCTGGAACTCTTTCTTCTTCTTTTTTTTTGTTAAAATTAGCTTCCCAGTATCTAGAATTATTTTCCTTCCTCCGTTCATGTGAATGAGCCCCAGAATAAGGCTGAATTCACTCCTCTACATCTTTAAACAGCAAATAGCAGGCAAATTTTGAATCACATGGCTAAAATATCAACACACTCTGGAACTGACTGAAGATTCCAAATATGATAAGCTAAACGGAATTTGCATCCAAGATGTGATGTTCTTAAGACAGGAGGCCTAGTGGGACCATAAACAGCGAAGAGCAGACGACCTAAAATTGAACCCTGAGGGATGCCATAGGGAACAGTGGATGTGAAGAATAAATGAAACAATTGCCCGCCAATGTTTTATGCCCAGTGCTTTCATTGCGAAAGGTGTAGATCTGGTTTGCGCTGCCTTTGTCATGGTTGAAAGGAATATTAAAGTTTGCCTTCCTTCTGTGTGAAAGTATTCGTGATAAGAACAGTTTCAAAAAACATATTGATGACTGAATTCATTTTTGTGAAGGCATTTCGGGTGAGAATGAATTTCCAGATCAGACTGAGAAGCTGTGGTTCTATCTGATAAATAACAGTCAACGGCTGCGCCAGGACACCGACCACATGTTCCTGCATAAGAATGGTGAGGTCTGCTGTGTCAAAGGATGAGATAGAAGCTAGAGGAAGGTCACGATTTGATGCATCAGCTGCCAAGAGGAAATCATTAGTCAAGATGGCTGATTCTGTCCAATGCAGCAAGGTCTCTGAAACCAGACTGAAATATTCAAAGACGGTGTCCTGAAGCAAGAGAGCCGGCAGCAGTTCAGTAAAAACATGATTTATCTGGCACCGTGGGAAGAAAGAGCTTCTGAATATCAGTCTTTGCTTGTTCAGGACTGATTAAAAAAACCGCCAGCTGCCAAATGTCTAGCTCTATAGCGTCACTTAACGACTGAACAACCGCTGAGACTAATTACGTTAATGACAAGTTTATGGGAAGAGTGTCGAGAGAACAGGTGCTTGGTTTCATGTGAGACGCAGTTTGCTTCAGTTCAGAAATGATATAGTGAAAGACCTCCGTGCAGTAGCGTTTGCCAGGTCACAAGTAGGCGGAGTAATTTAAGTTCTGAATGAATGTGTCATCAATACCAGCTGTCCCGACATATTACCTCAATGCACTCAATCACCTCCCGTGCAACAACTTCCAATCTTGCTAAATGATGTTGCATGTGCAGATTCATCTAGTTGCATACTTTCCTACTATAGAGACACCTGAGACTAAAATGATGTAGCTGCACAGCCTGTTTTTCAGCAGCATTTACAGTCGAGCTCATGAAATGCAAACCCTTCTCGGCAGATTTTCCACATGACACTAATGAATTTAAACTCAAGTGCCCTCCCGTGTGGTTTGGCAGCAGCAAAGAAGCATCAATTATTGGTTTAGCCCTGGTCAGGATGCAAAGTGTGTGTGGCCTATGAATGGTCTAACAGATGTGAAGATGCTTTAAGAGGTGCAGACCTCTAAACCTCAGTTTGTTTGTTTTGTCGTTGTAAAGTTTTTCATGACAGACGACGTCTGTCAATTTGACGAATGGTTGCTTTCTGCAACTTTTATCACAATCTGAAAAGTAAACAACAACTCTGTGCACAGTGCAGCTGATAATAATTAAAAACACTGATTATGCATCCGACAAACATTAGTAGCACCAGCAGTCAAGTCCGTCTGGACAGAAGTAATTAATTCAATCTGTCATCAAGAATACAAATCTCTCACTGCGTCCTGCTGTTTGCTTGTTGCACAGTTAAGGTTGACTTTTCTTAATTGGACAACTTGTAAGTCAAGTTGTTTTTCAACAGATAACTGATTATTTGAATTTTAAAAAAATTCCTCTTTTTACAGAAAGAAAGGCAGACATGTTAAATCCAATTAATCATGGTCCCGGAATGATTTGGGATTTAATGAGGAATTAACTTTCGAACTTACAAATTTGCATTTAAATGAAATGTGACCAACACTCAGGCAACCTCACTTTTAGTTTATTTTTAATCTGTGCCTGAGATGATATTGGACCTTGACTCCCTCACACAGGTCAGGTAGACGCTCACAAGTACAGATAATCAGCTTAAATTTGTCGGTTGTGGTTTTATGAATGCAACATTCAAAACTGGCCTTTTTAATTACAACCTCTGATCGCGGTTAAGGTTTAAGTGCTCCAGATTCCCTCTCGTTTTGGAACAAGCTTTCCTTTCTTTTGACTCTAAATGGACCATAATGTACTAAATGAACATCATGCTGTATTGAAGAAGACTTGAAACTAGAGATTGAGACCATAAACTCATGTTTACAATGTTTACTGAGGTAATAAATCAAGAGAGAAGTAGAGTCATTTTCTCATAGACTTCTATACAACCAGAGGAGTCGCCCCCTGGTGGACATTAGAGAGAATGCAGCTTTAACACATGAAGCATTGGCTTCACTTTTCAGAAGCAGAAGTTGCAGCCTGTGTTAAAAGTGATGATCAAACTCTTGACAAACTTTAAATACTGACTTTCTCTCTTTCAGCCACATGCACACCGCTCCACAGGCCTGCTGTGGTTGCTGAGATATGATTCGACAATCCCTGGGAAAGGGATTTAAGCTTCATTCAGTTTAGGCAACATTCAAATTTATAATCCTGTACAACTGGAAAAGATTAAAAGGTTAGTTATTAGTAGCACCTTTTGGAGGTTTACTTTGATTTTAATGCCAGGACTTACCGCTGTCCACCACGTCCCTGGGTTGTCCAGGCCACAATTGTCGCTGTACTCCAGGCAGCAGGAGTCCGGCACGCGGGAGGCATTGTACACTTCGAACCAGTCTGTGTGGTTGGTTACTCCACAGCATCGAAACTGCACCAGAGAGAGACAATAAGTTAAGAGAGTCTGGCCTTTTTATTGTCCCGACACTCAAAATCCTAATGCGTGATATCAAATAAACATCCTCCGCTGATGGAAACTAAAGTTATTTACTTGCCAAGAACAAGATTTCCTGGGCAAAATAATTCATATGTGCCGGGCGTATAGAAAACTGTTGATCTGTCTGATATTGAGGCCCTTTTCGTACAATCCACATCTCATTTGTCTCAAAGCCCTGAAATCATTTTCCAACTCGCCGGCTTCTTTTTTTATCTACATCTCCCCCCCTTTGTGATTGGTATGGATTTTTGATAAGGGATCATGGCCTCCACCACGATTCAATTCATCAGCGTACTTGGTGAAAAAGATAAAGCGCCCCTGATGTTTTGTTCATTCAGTGGACTTTATTTCCACACGGGAATAATGCCGCCCGAGCCGCTCCGTGCACAGAATCCGGGATTGTGTGTTAATTTGAAACTCGCTCGCCCGCTTAAACAATGGATCAAGTTTGCAATTTATCATGAAGTACGGCAGATTTCGAAACCCATCTGAAGCATAACGTTTGAGAACAAATCAAAGGCTGAAAACTGCACATAACATTCAAATGTTTTCACCTTGAAAAGTTAACGCCCGGCGTGCCGTGCTGCCCCTTTTTCTGATTTATTGCGCCGGGTGTTTTTACTACTTCTGCTCTTGTATGTAGATTCTCTTCTATTCCAGGAGCAGCCATTAATAATATTCAGGGTGAACTTTGCTCCGGGGACATCTGCTGTATTATCTATTCAGTGACTCAGCATGTATGAGGGAGGCTCGGGGGGGTGAACAGTGACAGAATGAGAGCTGCCTTTTAATGGACTTCACCTCGGCCAGACTTTTATGGAGCCCCATATGCAGCAGAGCCTGATTTGACAAGGAGAAAAAAAAGTGCACATTCACGCTTGCAGAGATATATTCTCCAAACGATGGCTCGTTCAGGCAGATTCTGCTTCATGCTATCATCCTGTACGCAGGAGAAAGAAACCCTCTGCACATTACCACCCACACATCGCACACATTTGCATATATTATTTTGCATAGCGATACATTTCTCTGTCACCAATTATGCCTTTTCACCAGCACACACCCTTGCACAGTTTGCCTCGCAGACACGCGCCTGCACCGGGGCCAAACATTCAGCGTTTACTGCACTAACGGAACAGAACTACAAGCCACAACACCGGATCTGTGCTGTGGGGGAAAGTCCAAAGCGCCCTGAAGTCTCCCATCTATCACTCGATGTCTCCCCAAAGGCGTTCAACCGCGGCACCATCCGTCCTCTGCAATCCTAAATTCCATATCTCTGTTTCTCGCATTACGTTGTGAATTATTTGGAGGGGAATTTAAGAAAATATAAATAAATAATACAATGGAAGAGAGCCACATCAAAGAGGCGGCTGAAACAAAGATTATACCTCTGAGAGTCTGTGATGTTCCCATTAATCTATCTGACAGCATTTTACCACAGCGTTTAAACTGTAAAGCTTTGAGCATTTGTTACACTCGGTTGAGACATTTTCACACATTTTTACTGATGCTATTTTTCAGATTGCTGGTATTTTTATTTCTTATTTCCCAGCCGGCTTGTAAATGTCCAGATCCCATTAACGACAGGAAGGATTGCAGTGTTTTATTAAAATTTTACATAAAATGGAGGAATATAAAACCAAACGGCCCTTCAACAGTTGACTACTCCCTTTTAATTTAATGTGAGCACAGTGGTACTAATGGTGAAACATTGCCAATAGCAAACGTAAGCAGTGCCTCAGTGAATAATGCAGTCAAAACGTCATGTACTTCAGCTTGTTACGAGATATATTTTGCGTGACTTGACTTGCTAGATGGCATTGAAGCTAAAGCAAAAAGAAATATGCGTTTGTCACACCACAGAAAAATGTGACATAAACCACTGAACTAAATTTGAATGATTTAAAAAAAATATATATAATATAAAGTATATAAATTTAGGTTTCTAAATCATGAAAAATGTGAAACCACGGCCAACCGTGGGCTTCTTTCTACATAGTTTGTCTTTCATAATGGCCAGAATTAATAAGCGTGTGCTTATTAAATAATAATTACAGCCCATCATTAAAAGCCGGTACTCTGTGAAGGTCACGGCCTTTACCTGCAAATATCTCAGAATAAAAGCCTTGTGTTCACAAATGAAGGGATTCTACAGAGAGATGCTCGAGGGCTTTTATTTCTACAGATAGCGAAATGCAGCCGACTGCGCACCTGAGCAGTGCTGCTCACGCAGGCTGTGTGGTTGCTCTAACCTGAAAACATGGCCGCCGGAATTCAACAAATGTCCAACAAACACCATCTTTCAGCCAGGAGACCGCTGTCTGTTCCTGTTTTGATTTATTTTGTCACGTAACTTGCATACTTCAGTAACGGCACTTCTGTAGTTATTTTAACCCAAACAACGATCCTTCCCTAAACCTAACTGAGTAGTTTTGTTGCCTAAACCTAACCGAGTAGTTTTGTTGCCTAAACCTAACAGAGTAGTTTTGTTGCCTAAACCTAACCGAGTAGTTTTGTTGCCTAAACCTAACCGAGTAGTTTTGTTGCCTAAACCTAACCGAGTAGTTTTGTTGCCTAAACCTAACTGAGTAGTTTGCTGTGAAGACGGAAGTTTATTTTGGAAAGAATGTATTCATGTAAGGAGGGGAAACTGACACGTGTTGCTGGATTTCGTATGAAAACACACAAAAAATGAGGAGTAACTTTTCGTAAGATATCATACGAACTGGATACGTTGGTGTTGTCAGAACCACTGATGCTATGAGCTTCATGAGGGTAACCCTATGAGGGTTATGATGAGGATGATAAAATCCTAGACACAAAAATTAAGAAAAAACTCAACATTTCAGTACGACCAGTCTATTCACGTGTCGACAGCATTATTATAATGTGTTTAGAAACAAATCTCAGATTTTACTTTACCCAGACTTTAATTTCTGACTCTGCTGCAATGCTCACGACAGAATGTATTTTAAAGCATCATTACCTCAGTAAACTGTGCCGGAGAGGATGAAAAGGGACTTAAAGCGCTCACGCATCTTACATCAGTTTGTACGATCATCCAGGCGTTGGTCAGGCCCACGTTACCCTCTGTGCCGAACAGCTGGAGGCCCTTCTTCAGATCCCTCTGGGCGTAGTGATCGATCTGAGACAGCAGGAAACAAACATGGCGTCCATCAATAACGAATCTCCGGTTTTATCAACAGATTGATCAGGTAAGAATAAATGCTATTTGAATTTAAACGCCAACAAATAACCACATAGATTCTCAGTTCTCCTCGAAGAAAACTGCAGTACAATCCGTGAGAAGTGAACCAACAAGTCATGGTTTTTAATATCAGTTTTATCGTTATCTGACAGCAGACACGTTTACATGGGGAACCACTGATTTGTTAGACCACTGGTTCACACAGTTAATTGCATAGAATAGAAATGAATAAAAATAGATCTTTTTCTCCCCATCAGGGCAGGACATTTGTCTTTGTCTCACCAATAAAGAAGATAAACAGAGAACAAAACAACTCCATAAAAAGACACATTAGAAATACAACACGGCGATACGTGTCCAAAGGTTAACGACTAATTGAAATCACCCAGCATGGGAATATTTCTATTGATTTCACAAGGATCCCTTATGTATATTTCTGTTTATCAAATGTGTTGTATTGTCCTAGAGGCATTACATCAAATTCAGACTGGAGGGGATGTTAACCATCATTAAAGAAAACACACGCTTTGAGACCTGATTGCCTTCAGTTTCTCCACCGGTGGTGAAGAAGTACTCGCATATTCTACTTTTGTTAAAGTAGAAACACCAGAGTCATTCAAGATCATACAAAATCTGACTTAAAGTTACTGTGAGGAACTTTTATCTGGTCCTGAACCAGTCTCAGTTTAGTCCTGATCCTCTATCAGACCTCCATCAGTAGAGAGACCGTCAGAGAGAAGACGGTCTGTTTCTATAGAGTTATTCTTGATGCTCGTCATCAGAGCCACCGGGTCGGATTCTGGTGAAACCAGATGAAATCATGCAGGTTCACCAGAACCTCCTTCAGCTCAGACTCCAGCAGAGACCGGTCCACCGTGGACAGACCCAGATCCTCCAGCA